TATATATATATATATATATATATATATATATATATATATAAAACAATCACTTTTAACATAAGTAACAAATATAACGAGATAATATTTGTGTGCATGGAATATTTTAAATTGGACTTAAATTCCAGGAGCGAGAAAGAAGCACTTCGAGAAAAGATGCAAAACTTGCAGAACAAAATTTTAGTGGGTGGCGAGAATCTGTTGGAAAAAGCGGAAGCACAGGAGCAATTACTGGCAGCTGCGGCGATTGAGCTCGAACAACGGAAAAGCAGAGAGGAGCAACTGAAAAAGGCTATCAAAGCGAAGGAAGCGGAACGCATCGACATCGAAGAGAAGTACTCCTCGCTGCAGGAGGAAGCGGCTGGGAAAACGAAGAAATTGGCGCGGGTGTACACGATGTTGATGTCCGTCAAGGCGGAGTTATCTGACTTGCAGCAAGAACATCAAAGGGAGATGGAAGGCCTTCTGGAGGGTGTACGAGGAATTGGTAGAGAATTGCAGCTGCAGAATCTGATTGTGAATCATTATATTCCAGTTCAGTATCAGGTGCGTTTAAATATCCTCACATAAATCTTTCTATCGAATAGAGAAAATAGTAGTATACCGAAAGACAATATTTAAAATAAAAAATGAAAAATCAATGCGACTGAAAAACGATTGAATGTTAGGACAATTAAAAATCTGAAGGATATTTATCAAAGTTAACGGTATATATTTATTTAATTTATTAAATATTTGTCTTAAATATATTCACACATGCTATATTATAGACGATGATCAAAAGATATCTTCATTGGAATGAAGACATCGGTGAATGGCAGCTCAAATGCGTGGCATACACAGGGAATAACATGCGTAAAGCGCAAACCGCATCGCCGGCTGGAAATAATAAAGACGTAAGACTACTCACGCAATATTATTAATTACGCAGAAAAGCGTAATTTTCTCGAAGATTAGTCGTTTCTCAACTTTCCTTTATGACTGAAATTTCAGTTGTAAAGTTTCCTAAAACACCATAAATCACCTTGAAACGTTTTATATAAAATTTTGTCTGCAGACAACTCCACCGGACATGTCGAACATATATCTCTCTTATAACACCGGAATAGACACTACATTCGTGCAACCGAAGAAAGTGAGGAGCCGCTCGGGTGTACCTAGGCCAACCACGGCGCATCGACGTACACCGCACTGAAGACACAATTTCTCAGCCACGATGTCACAAAGGTTTACTTTTTCTCATACTTTTGTAGATCTTTTTTCGTTTCGGATACTCGCGTATTCGCTTGCGTGATCGTGCAGTATATCATATTGTTCGTATCGATGACTCGTGATAAAATGATATACTATAGATTATATAATACAACCGTTTCAATGTTTCCGTCAACATAATTCGCGATACATCTATTTTTAAGATCTTGAAATTTTTTTATACAGATAAATATCGAATACGCGTGACCATACATCGCGTATTCGATTAATTGCAATTTAACATTGATTCAGTCAGTAGAAGCTGATAGTGTCGATACACTGATTTAAATATTCGTTACGAGATGTAGATAGTAGACGTACCTAAAACTATTTAAACGCATTCCTTTTTCGTATTTAGAACACGTTATAAGAGGTACACAAGTATTTTATCTACAGTAACAAATCCTTTTCCTTAATTTATAATATAAACTATTAGCACCTCAACACAAATTTAAATTGTGTGTTTACATTATTAGAGATACACATTTTCATGTTAACAATATGCGCAGGAAACCGCTATTGACGTGGAAAACTGTATGTAAGCCCGTTAGGAAAATGAAAACTATATTGTACCTGTGGAAAGAAACGAATTCGAGAGTTCGAAAGAATCAATATATGTCACATCATGACAAATTAACATATTTATAAATTCAGTTAAAGATGCAATATTCTTAAGAAAAGATTTCACTATACTTATAAGGGAGCTGTTCGACACTTATTGGCTTCTCCATGAAATATATTGTTAAATACAAAAACTTAAGAGTGGCATATATTTTTACACATTAATTGAAGTTTTATAGGAGTGAAACAAGTTCTTCTCAAAGTTATCCGGTAGATGTGATTTTAAGTAAATATCTAAATTATATATATAAAAAACGTTTCAAATAAAAATTTTGTAATAATTAATGCACTTTATAACTGCATTCAGATTTTATCTATATCATATATCATTATTCTATATCATATTTTATCATGAATTATATATTACATATTATGTTATATATTACAGAATTTGTTCGGATTTTGGTTTTTTGTTAATTTGTCATTTATTAAACAATGATTAACTAAAAGCAGTATTTGTTATAATAACTTATTATAGTTTGAAGTTTGTTGTAATATTTATAATTTACTAGTCACTTTCTCTCTGATTATATTATAAATTTACGCTTTCTTTTAGTTGTATTGTGTTTGATTTCATTTAAATATATAAATTAATATGATTGTGTGATCTCATTATATTTATCTTTAGCGCGTAATAGTAGGAAACCTATTTTGTTAGTTGTAGTCCACATTGTGATTGCAATGTTATGCGATAGTAGATGAGTCGCAATTTGGCATATTTGCTCAAATATTTGAGCAGCAAATAAAAATAACAATTAGAATCTGATGATAAAGGAGAAATAATAAAAAATGAAGGTATTTTGCAAAAAAGAAAAGAAATTTTTGTTGAATGGACAATTATAAAATGCACCAATTATCGTTAAACTTTTATTTTAAAACATTTTTTATATGTCATAATTTAGACGATATTTACTTAAAGCTATATCCGTCGAATAACTTGGAGAGATTGTTTCAAAACCCCTAAAACTTCGATTCAACACGTATAAAAAAATAGGTGTCACTTAATTTTTTGTATTTAACAACATATCTCATAGAGAAGCAAATCGGCGCCTTTGTTCCTTTGTTAGAAATTCGTATATCTTTGGTATCTTTATTCGCTCATATCCTTCATGATTTCTTCGTCGCATAAAATTAAATATAATAAAAAATAAATTAGGGAAAATGGTACAGCGCATGCTTACAATTAGTGTCAAGCATTAGTATTAAGTAATTCAATAATGGTGTTTTACGAGTCCTTATTTGAAGAAACGACAATTTTTATATGCTCTAGTGACAGGAAATCCAAACAACATAAATGTCTGAAGGACGATCGAACCTTTTCGATACATTTGAAACGTGTTTTTAGATTGTCATGTTGCTCAAGAGCATTTTATATTCTGTCGAATCTTTTATAACGCCTGATGAAGCACGCGTATTTATTTACTGTGATATCGAAATATTTTCACGTATTTTTTCAATTGAGCTTTGTCGACGCTTTATTTAATTTTGTAAGCGGTTCACAGCAGTGCTAAGTATTTATTGTTGTCGCGGCGTACGCGTCTTGTTCTTGTATTTATAATTTTTGCAAAATAAAGAAGAATTTCAAGAGACAACAGACGGGCCTGCGATGATAATTATTCTAGCGGTATTCTTCAATCCACTTCTTGATAGAATATCGATGGAACTTGCGCGTGAGGATAACGCTGTACGGATCATTGCTGTTGCTTTCTCGTAAATCAAGATGATGCGCAGCATCGGGAATTAATATAGCTACCGCTGACGAAGACAAGTTGCGCAGTACGCCTCCGCTCGCCCATGGATCCAGTAATCCATTGCTAAAAGAACGTAAAGAATAAAAATAAGAAAAATATGAAAATGGAGGTAGAATTTACTAATGAGAAAATTTACAATAAAAACACATAGAAATAAAATGCAGAAGTAAAGAATCATATGGATATTTTCATATTGCAAAAAACTTCTTTCATTATAAGAATAATATAAATAAAGATTAAATAAGAACTATATATATAGAATAAGAAATGTTGATTGCAACTGTTATACACGATGATCCATCAGCTTTAACAGAAGTTTTATAGAAACATTTCAAAATGAAAAAAAAATTACGTATATTTACACATAGATTCGCTGGTTTATATACCTGAAATTGATATTGGTCACGGTAGAAAGATTTTTGCAACCATATTGCTGACAAACTCGATAAGGCTGCGGAGACACTGAATATTTCTTGAAACATGTATCATTGTAATCCTTGAAGTTCCATTTTAACGGCTCGAACATGTCGTTGACACCGTCGTAACACATCGGCATCACCATTTCCGTACACGATTGATAGTCCCATCCTAAATCTGCACCTAAAGCCGGTTCCGCGTCCTTTATAGAAAGGCAAGCTGTTTTGCCAGTATAGTTTGTGTAAATATTAATAGCCCCATGAAGCGCTGATAATAGCGGCTTTCCTGTTAACGAAGAGTTTGTCAAGTGTCGACAGAAAACCTAAATGAAAGAAAAAAACAATTAAATTTGCAGTTTGGAAAAATTAAAAATGTAAGACTACTGACAACTTTGAAGCCAACAAAAAATTCACAGAAATTGGAAGGAAAGTTTACCAATTAAGATGAACTATAAAATACTCACGTTAATTGGATTACCCGGCAGTGGCATTAAAAAATCACTCTCATACGGATAATCGACCATAGCCAGATCTGTATAGACTTCCTTTAGGAAATCTTTCAAGGTCTGTACATGTTCTGCAGTCTTCAGCGGCTCACACAACTTCCAGTTGTTCGACAACCACTTTTTACCTTCGTCTAAGGCAAGAAAAACGATAAGGATGCAAAGGAAATCCAGCTTATGCTAAATTACTATATATACTGTTTCGTTACCGTTCGATGTTACTTCGGTTATCGTGCTCCACGTTTGCCGAATAAGTTTGGCACAAGTTGGACTCGAAGCGCGAAAGTCTGACGTTACTATTCGAGCAAACGCTTCGCACGCCACGACGCCAGTAAACTGCAGAATCGGAGCGGAGCCTGCAATTGCGCTGTAACATATTGATAATATTTTATTGTGTTGTATTAGTTTATGAGTTCGATACAATTATCATCTAGATAAAATGAAGATTATTGTACCTATGTTATACCAAGCAGATAATCATAGAGGAACGTATCATCTCATATAAATATAATTATTATATAAATATTAATATTTACACGAAATATTAATTTATTTGATATTACATATTTGATATTTTATCCTGAATTTGACAATTTCTTGTTATTTTAAATCTCTCCAATATTCTTTTTCAGTGCAGTTCTCGCTAACGCGAGATTTAATTTAAATCTACATTGGTAAAACATTGATTTTTATCGATTTGATCAATACGCCAATATTAAATAGATCATTGGATATCTCGATAAATCGAACGCTAAAGTAGCATATGAAATAAATACACATATTTTTTCCGCGCATATGTTTCCAACTATATAAATAGAACAGAGTCGCAGCAACACTATTATCAATCATTGATAAACATACCCCTGAACAATATGAGGATACTTCATACGCATCCAAGCGCTAAGCATACCGCCGTAAGAGCCGCCAAAAACTATTACCGGGCTACGATTATATTCCGGCTTTGATCTCAAGTGCTGAATAAGCTCCACGTAGTCAGCCAGAGCTTGTTGAGATGTTAAATATCCGAGATGCCGCGAATCAGTGAAAGATTTGTTGCCGTAGGGCAACGATTCGCCGTAGTAACGATGCTCGGCGAAAACGACCAGCGCGCCGAATTGCGGAGCGCTTTCCCATAAAAAGCCCTAACAAGCATTTCACGTTAATTATTAAATATGCATATACACACGTCCATACATATTTTATGTTTAATAGTTGAAAGTCTATCAGTTAATAGTCTATCAGTCCGTTATATATTTACATTTACATACATTTTTCTTAGGAGAAAGATATAAATTATATAATATAGATTATATCTAAATTTAGGAGATGAGAATAATATAAAATGAAATTGAAAGGGCAATGTAACAATCAGGATATTACATATTAAATAGATAAAGAATGAATAGATGTGTGTGTGTGGTTAAATAACAAAAATGTAAACCAAGTCCTTTCTTGGTTTATAAGCTGAATGATAACAAACATACATATAATTAACCAATTAGATAATGCGTATGATACAACATATTATAATATGTCTAAAATTGTTTAATCTTACCGTATTTTCAGCAAAAATTTCAATTCTGCCTTCATTCCCAGTGTAAAAGAATATGGGAGCATTTTCTGTTTTTCGCCAAGTATCATTAACAAGATATCTTAATTTGAAGGTATCTTCTATAGCAAAGTTAAAGTGATCCACCTTTGAACATATGTGACAAAATTAACACCAATAATTAGTAATATAATCACAAAAGATCAATATTAAACTATTACTAATTCAAATATTTTAATAATAATATAAGTGATTTATAAACACAATTAAATTAAATTTTCTCTGTAATATTATATATAACTTTATATATAAATATTATACATAACAATTATATATTTTCAATAAAATGAAATAACACTTGAAAGAATAAATATAAAATCTGTTTTTTTTTTAGTTTAACTATTTGAACTGATACACAGTGATACAATAAGTGAGAACAAATATATTTTGTTTTATTCTAACTTATTGCATCAGTCTGCACCAGTTCTGACAGTTCAGCTAAAAAGAACAAACCTGTGATAATCATATGTAATTGTATGTATTAATATAATAATTGTGTCAGTAAACATCAAGTAACAATGACATTACATCAATATTATAATTTTCTACTTGACAATATAATTGTTATGTATAATATATATTATTTTGAATTTTTTTGTGTTGAGGAAAAAATTATAATATCAATGTAATGTTATTGTTGATGTTCACTGAATACATATACAAATTTGTATATATATTATATATTTATGCAATATATAGATGTCATTTGCAAATATGATACAACTCTCGATAACGGTTATTAAATGAGAAATATAAAGAAAAAAATTTAACTCACGCGTACGTCGATGGTTTTGATGTTGTATTTATACTTGGCACAGTGCGATGTGTTATAATCACACACAGCAGCCGCTTGCCGGCTCTCAATGAACTTGCGTGGAAATGTCAGTTGCAACGTCGACTGAAATAGTGCTGACACAAGCAGCCAAATAATTGTGGAAAAAGTGTCCATAGCGTAATCTTGAGGAGGTGTAAATTCTTACTGAAATCTGTTTTGCTTAATGATGTTAAGAGTCCGCAGGAGTCATAGTGGAGACCTCTCGCGAAAAGTTGCGAGATAAATAAGAAAAAAATCACTTTTATATTATATTTATAATCAAGAGAAACGATCGCAGGATACTACAAAGCATTTTTTTTTTTTGAAAAAAGGTCAAAATAATAATTGAATAAATTATTTGAATGGATGTTTGCCGTGCAATGCAGCATAAGCCCATATATTAATTTATTAGAAATTTTCAAGGGCCTAAATGTAAAATCCGATTCTGCAGCATCGTTATCACTTATGCAAGGAAGATGCAACAGATATTTGGTGAGCAAATATTGTGTTTACGAGGCGGCAAAATACGTCAAATATAGAAAGTGTAGTTGACTTGACCTAACCTTTCTACTGTTCTCTCTCTCTCTCTCTCTCTCTGGTTGCAGACCTTTCTCATTGGCTCTTTTATCATACCTTTCTACTGTTGCATCTGCGCGAGCAATGCATAAAGCCAGCGGCACACGATGCTTGTTTTCGTGTTGGTTTGATTGCTGGATAGAAATACTTTGTTCTGATTGGCGCATCTCTGAAGATGGATAGAAATGCACTAATCAAAACAGAGTATTTCCATGCAGCAAGTAATCCAGCACGAAACAAGCATCGTGTGCCGTTGGCTTTAGTGATTGAATTGACGTATTGTGAGAAAAGTGTAGATAATACAAAGAGAGTTGCACCACCGCAGTTTGATATGCAATTGATGGAACCAGAGAGAGAGAACGGTGTTTCGTGCTCTCGCCGCGCGAGGCCTTCAGGATCGAGTCAGGATATTTTACGTGTGAACGTGTAAACAAAACAATATGGACGAACAGGCGCGTACAATTTTTTGCGGAAATTTGAGCAACGAAGTAACCGAAGACATTCTGTATGAGCTATTCTTACAAGTTAGTATTTGATTCTGTGATCCTCGAAATAATACGTTGAGTGCTTTCCATTTATGTAACGTGTCGACACTTGGGCTACGTTCGCTTTGAGCACTTATGCGCTGTAAGCGTCATTCTATCTTTATCGCTTATTAAATGCGAGAAGAAGATAGAATGACGCTTACAGCGCATAAGCACACAAAGCGAATGCAGCCTTGGTCGATTTGTGTTTACACAACTCGAAACATTCAATCACTTTTTGAAAGAAGAGTCACGCGAAATCAACTTGTATCACTCGCAAACAATTACGCAAAATAAACGGAAAGCAGAACTGGCACCACAATTTGACTTATATTAACCTATGCTATTGAATGGAAAGTACTTGTTATAACCTATAAGTTGACCTGTGAGAAGATATATACAGATTAAAGATACTTGGAAAAGAGAAAAGTTCTAGTCAATATTTTCGTCTCATATTTATATAATAGTCGGACGTGTACATTACCATTAATATTACACACGGATGTTATATAAATATTATTGAAAACATTCAAGTATTGCATGCCCTTACACATGTGATTAATACATGTAAGATTAATGTAGATGTGAATCGTTTCTCAGGCAGGTCCTATAGAAAAGGTATCCATTCCTAAAGACCGCGATGGCAGACAAAGAGCATTTGGGTTCATTACATATAAACATATGAACTCTGTAAAATATGCTTTAAATCTATTTGAGGGTACAACACTGTGCAAACGTACTCTTTGTATGAAACCAAGGTGCAATGCTGAAGCACGACAAGTAGATAATACTGTGAATCACAGTATGCATAATATGATGCAACCTCAGTTAATGCAGCAAAATATGCATAATATGCACAATATGCATAACATGATGCAACTTCCCTTGGCACAAAAAAATCAATTACTGCAGCAGACTCAACATCTAGCTCTAGGCAATTTTTCATTGTTGAACGCGAATTCTAGTAACGATGATAAAAATCTTAAAAGAATGTATCCTTATCAGAGAGATAGGGATAAATATCGAGAGAGAGATAAAATTAGAGATAGGGATAGAGATAGGGACAGAGATAGAGATAAGGATAGAGACAGAGACAGGGAAAGAAACAGGGAGCGTAATCATAACGATTACTATAGAGATGAAAGACCACATTATAATAGAGACAGTAACTATCATCCCAATGATAACTCACGATATAATGGCAATAGGAAGAGATGGTCTTACCACTGATAACAACCATTTTCAAATCACTCTCTTTTTACATGGTAATCTTAAATTTTCAACAATTCTCGATCCTGACTTACTGAACTCTTATTATTTAAATCTTGTTGCTTTTACGTTTATCTATGTGTAATAATCCTTATAGCCTTAATCTATGAAGTTATATTATTTTAAAGTACAATATACTCTCTCTGAAAGTATATGATTTGGTCATGTATATTTGGTCAATAATAATAATAATCTTGGATACAACTTGAATGTAACTGCAATTAATTTAGTATATTATAAGAATGTACATATATATATATTTTTTGTATTATATATATATTGATGTGTATATACATATATATGCACATATGTATTTAAGATATTTTATATATGAGAAAAAAAGGAAAATACTATAAAATCCAATTATTAACTGAATTTTGTTTTTGCTAGTATGACATGCGACATGACACTGTAAATTACTACTTCGATAATTTACAGTCATGATAACCAATCAGTCGTTGCTACACATTAAATATTAATTAAATTCTTTGTAATAAAGACTTTTTATTATAATTTTGTAAAATATATTTCGCACAGTATTACAAGATATATAAAAAAATAAAGTCAGAGGACATCTGCGTTATCTTTATGTTTCTTTTTCTTTTGTTTTTCCACTTCTAAACATACGGGCGGCTTTTTGTGACAAAGCAATCACAGCTGCATTGGTATTACCGCTCGGTAGCGACGGCAGGACCGACGCGTCCACGACGTACAAATTTGTCATATTGTAAATCCTGTAAATGAGCACAAAAATATAAAGTATATTATTCATGCCATATGCATAGCAATATGAATTTCATAGCGATAGTTACTTGAACGACGTGTCGACGACATCGCCTATGCGACATGTACCGGCTGGATGATAAGACGTTAGTGTCAAGTGTCGTACATAACATCTCCAGTACTCCCTAGTATCAAATATTTCATTTTCGCAACCGGGGAAGGGTTCTCTGTTAAGGGACGCGCCGCAGGCTTTCAAAGCATTCGTTTCCAAGAGCTCCTTTACGAAATACAAACCTAAGCATTTTTATATTGTATTACATATAATATTAATATGTTCGTATAGAAGCGTTCTTTTAAGTTATAATATAGTGTTTGTATGAATGTATAATTAGAATATGTATTATTAATATCATATGTATGTGTTAATTACCTTCTATGAGAGCTTCAACGTCGTCTTTATTGGACAAATATTTCGGATTAATTAGAGGTTCGTCAAAGGGATCGTTACTTCGTAATCGTATCTCTCCGCTACTTTTAGGGTGCAGTAAGACAGGCGCGATTATTACTGTATTTTTATGTGAAAGGGAAGAGAAGTATTTGGCATAGACCTATAAGAACGTTTTCACGAAAATTGAATTTCTTGAATAAAATATCTAAACATTATTTTTTGTTCTATCTTTCATATAATTTCACTTGTGATACTTATTACAAGTTTATTTTATATAACTTATGTGTGCATATATACCTCATCAGAAATTCCCATTATTCTTTTAAACAGAATACCATGATCCTTTATACCAAGAGGAATCATTAATAATTGCAAATCTGGTGCTGCAGATTTATTGTTTAAAACACTATGGAATGTTCCTAATACCTCAATTGCTGATGATGTCCATGGACCTAAATAAACAAATTAATACATTCTGTATTTTGGAAAATATATATATTGTGGAGGAATATATAGAGAAAATATAAATAGAGAATGTCCATTTTTTCATATAATGTATATTCTCTTACCTTTCCCAAAGAGAAAGTAATTAAAAGCGGATATAGGATTCAACATTTCAAGTAGATTCAATCCAATGTTTGCATTAAGAGTGACCAAATCAACACCACTCGTTATATGATCTACCAAATTCTGACCAACTGGCAAGTCATTGATTACATGAATCTAGATAACATAACATATAATTGCAAAATAACAAATTAATAAATGCAAATGAACTATACTGTTGTAAGATATGCAGATGTATTTTGCTTTTGGTTTGAATTAACAAATTTACTTACATACCGATACATATTATACATTGCGCGTAAATTTTCAGATATCTTTACTATTATCAAAAAAGAGGTCCAGAGTTCTTTTTGTCGTTTGTGATAAGACGATAAGTTTGTAAAGAGAGTTTTATGTTTTTATCAAAGCAAACAAGGAATAAGGGAAATAAGAGCCAACTGCCGATCTTAATGGCAAAAATCACAAATTAATAAAAGCTTGTAATACATTTATTTAAGTACAAAAATTCAGACTCGGTCTCGGTTTCGGTCTCAATTTCGGACCCTCTTCAGTGATAATTACAAATAGTTTCGAAAATGTAGTTACAAAAAATTCGCATAAGTCGCAATAGAAGAACTTGTAAATCACGCAACAGCAAACTAAGCAAAGGTAATATTGATTATCTTTGCTGCCACTAAGATCGGTAGTTGGCTCTTATTTGCTTTATTCTTTGTTTGCTTTGATAAAGTTCTCAAGAGCCTATAACTTTTAAATTATATGTTTTAATTTAAAGTTAAAATTAATTATGAAGGAGATTACTTACATTAAGATCTTCTAAATATTTTCTCGGTCCAATGCCAGATAACATTAGTAATTTTGGACTTTCAATTGCACCAGCACTTAGAATAATTCCTTTTTTCGCCGTGGCAGTATATTTATTATTAAATCTAATAAATTCAATTCCCTCAGCTTTATCAGCATTCACCAATATCTAATGTAGAATTGACTTCTTAGTTTTAGCATGATAAAAGTCTGAGTAAAATCTTTTCGAGTAGGCTTACTTTAGTTGCAAGTGCGTAAGTTAATATAGTTAAAGCATGATTATGGTTTTTATATAGTACTTTATCCGTACTCCACCTTTCACCATTTTCCATTGTTAGCCGAGCTTTCATGAAACCTAGATAAAGCATATTGCCATTAAAAATACCACATATATTTTTATTTAAGAATTAACTTTTATTTAAGAATTAACTTTTATTTAAGAATTAACTTTTATTTAAGAATTATACCTATGTCTAGTTTCGTATTCATATCACCTACATCGTGATTTAATTCTTTTATCGCCTCTAGGACTACATCGGCAAAATTAGAATGCCATCTCAATTCACTTGTACTTATTGAATCATTGTGCTCAGCAATTGTCTCTGAAGATATACAGATAAAAAATTTAAGAATATTTAGCCATACTTATAAATTAAATAAAGTATGTATATATATACTTTTCAATATTACTAAATATACACATATTGTTATATAAAAATCTCATGTACGTAAAAAGTCTGGAAACCATCCTTCATAGTCCAGCCGATGCCCTAATACATAAGCCATATAATTTAATCGGCTTGATCCTCCAAGAATTTTACCTCTGGGCCATATGCTTTGCTGTAGAAATTTTTATGACAGTATATACATTAGATTTTTTAGCATACAAATACTACTTACGTTATTGACCAAACTTTTGCACGAATGTTCCTGAGGTACAGTAACATATTGCCAATCATAAGCAGTTTTTTGTATTATTGGTGCTAAAAGTGGTATGCTAAGCAAAGGTGGTGCACTACCACCTGCTTCCAACAATAATACACTATTCTTATCTTCTGCCAAATGTGATGCTAGAATTGCACCAGCACTACCAGCACCAACTAGTAGAATATTACAATGTTTATTATATGTTATAATAAAAAATACATAAATTAAAATACCATATAAAGTATAAAAAATTTATATTATTCAATCATATTAGTTATGTTTTTATACATAAAATTTATATCAAGTTATTTATATTTTATGGATTCTTTAAAAGAGATCGGTGTGATAACAATCAATTTCACTCTACAATATATACGATAATAAATTACGTAAATAATGTAAATATTTTGAATTAAGTATGCAGCTTACCGACAATATAATCATATTGTTGCATATCTCGAACATTATTGTTGAATATCCATTGAAAATATGTATCCGTTATGTAGGCAAAATTAATATAAAAAACAAAAATCCCCGTAAATATGCTCAGAAAAATAAATAGTGTCGATTTTATAATAATAAACATTTTATATGATTTTGAAGGCAAGAGGGAAGATTTAAACTTAAAAAAAAAATAACGATGGAGAGAGAGAAAGAGAAGATATTAAGTGCATTCAGCGAATACAATCGTTAAGTAATTTGTCCATGTGATTGACCTGGATCTAAGAATCTAACAGTAAAGACTGGTTTATGATAGCCGTAATCTGTACGTATTGGGTCCCTGGAACCCCAACTTTGCTAAACGTGCTAAATCGAGATTTTGTTGCGTTTCTTTTTTCTTTTAACCCGTATATCTCGGAATTCCTTAATTCTATCAACTTTTATTCATTCTTGTTCGTTAATCAATTCTCTATAGATTAAAAAAAAGGTAAAATATATCAATTTTTGATAAAGTTACGATACAAATATAGATGGGGTCCCCGGGACCCTAGTGTGTATAGCACGTAGGCAAAATATAAGTGTGCATACGAAAAGTTAACTTATGTCGGAATCGTAAAAAATTAATCAATTATAGTCGAATTATAAAAGAATAATCGATTGTGATTGGTCAATTTTTTACGACATAAGTTAACGGATTACGGCTATCATAAGCCGGTATTCATAGTCGAATCTTATTTCAAGGTCGTCTTAAGTAATGTCTTAAGATGCGAATACTGCTCTGTGATAGATTCATGATATCTTAAGACAGTACTTAAAATGATCTTAAACATAAGATCGGGCTATGAATACCGGTCATAAACCAGCCTTAAGAATCAATAATTACTAACTGTTCACAGAACGTTTTATTCCGTTGAACGTAGCCAGCAGAGCAGAGCAACATCAGCAGAGAAAAGAACTCAATGAACTTTGGCCTGTGTTTCAAAATTCACTGCCTGTGAGCTAATGTCGAGGCCAAGTAACAAGCGACACATATACGTTACTCCGCCTCGAAATCAGCTGTTTATCGTTGCTAAGAGATAAGCTATTTCTTTTACATACAGAGCCTGTTTCTCGTGAGCTCTTCGTTTATACATTTTAATTAATTACGGAATAAATATTGAGAAAATTTCAAAATGATATATAACTTTTATGATATATCATTTTTACTTGTTCTACCCGTACACAGCGGTTGCTCGATCAGTTACCGGACATCTTGTATATTTCAGTGGCTGTAACTAGAGATTTAGCAGTCTAGTAGTATATAGAAGGCTGAATACGGTAAAGTACGTTCCGATATTCACTGCCAGTTCTGCGAATATACAGTTTGTGTTATGTATCCTATAGATTTGAAGTACTGAATATCGGAACATACTTTAGAGTTATCGTATCTGAGACACGATATTGCAAAAACTCCTTCATACAACATCCAATGAAGATACGTTTTGGGTAACGTGTTACCCAATGAGCATTGCGAATACATATAATCGCAAAGACGTCTTTTTCATTGAGTCTCTTTTCTACCTGCGTTCAAATAATCCTGGAAAATATTTGTGAAACAGTTGAAGCTAAAAAATTACGTAATTTGCTCATATATGCAATTTATCGCTTCTCTAGGAGCTACATTAGATGTAGCATGATATATAATCTCGTGTATATCTGTGATTATCGTAAACACTTTTGCAAGTGATATAAATGCGAGCTCCTGACTCGGAAATAGTTACGTAAAACGTTTGCCATTTCTTCTCAAGAGAGGCGAAAGAGGTTATTCTTTTTAGTAATGGATCGTGTATCTCTTTAGAATGAATCTCCTTGGGAGCAGTTTTAAGTACGCTTAATACTAAAGGAACATTGTACACGGTAATTCGCTACTTTCATTGTATTATCGTTTGTGCGAGTGACAGTTGAGGTTAGGTTAGGTTATGATATCGCCGATAAAAGCGAATTAGTGAATCGTGAATTGCGTTTTTTAGATACACATCTCGACATCTTGTAGACGTCTATCGGGATATCGCCGAGAGATAAGCTCAGAGAGAAAGAAAAGGCGTATTAATTCGCGTATTCATCATGGCATCGGCGATCGAAGTTCTAGCGAAGCAGGCGATGAAGACGTTCGGCGATCGCAGGAGCGTCAGCTACAGGCTCTGCCAGAAGAACTTGGACAAATTGTGGAGTCTGATGAACAAGCTCACTGCCGAGGATGTGAAACTGGACAAAAATGTGCTCGACTATGTCAGCACGCAGCCAGCACCTATGTGTGTAATGGACATACTTGAAAATAAGGATATAACAATCGCGATTTTTATACTTAAGCACGGAGTCACGATGCCTATGCACGATCATCCTGGGATGCATGGTCTGTTGAAGGTAAGATATATTTGAGACTTATACAGGATGGTGCGATAACCATCCTGTGCAACGTTGAATATCTCTGCTATTTCAAACAATATAGAAAAATTGCACGTGCAGAAATTTTTGTAGGGGATGCAATATAGTGACAATGATTCTTTTGTGAATGGAGATAGATAGGAGATATCAAGGTCACTTTAAATTTCTTTTAATGGAGAATTCTATGATTTTTCTGAAACAAATCAATTTCTCTGATTATTCTGTATACAAAAATGCTGGGGCAAAATCTTTGTAAAGCAAATATTTTCTGAGATATTCTTCATTTTATTCCATTACAAAATATAAAATGGCCCTAGTTATGCAAGAATGATTCATTCCACAAAATTATGATTTGCAAGTTTTCACTATCAATGAATAATCCATATATCTGTATGTAATGAATAGACCCAAGACAGAAATGATGCTCCAAAACTTATGAGCTGAAATTAATTAAAAAACAGCTTTCATTTTTTACTAGTTGTGATTTTCTACTCATTTTTTTAGAATCAAGTTTGTCAATAAACACCCTTAAAGAGAAGAAATTTGCTTGATTTCTTGAAGAATTGCAAAGAACTTCAAGTGCAATACTTTTTATATCGTGTATCACATTTTCATCTTCAGCTTTTTCAAAATATATTTCATGTGAATTATTCTTGCATAACTATGGCCAGATATTTCTAATTAAAATATTAGGTGAAATATTTACATATCTTTTGATAACCTTACCTTATTATTTTACATTAATATAATGACTAGTGAGATTGATTCTTGTAAAAAAAAAAAACAGAAATCTTAAACAAAATTCTGTTGCATTTTGTAGATTTATTGATGCTAGTGTGCAAATACCAATATTATTGATCGATTTCTCTGGTTTTTTAGGTATAAAATTATTCAGATGAGATGTTGAAAAGTGGATAATTTACGGGATATTTTGTCTTGTAGAGATATTTCGGAGGATGTATATATATAGCTCTTAAAAAAAGTTTTTAGATCAGTGATTCTATACTTAATCATATTTATGTTATTTTATGTTTGACTAAATAAATTGGTTTAAAGTGTAATATTTTGTAATTTAGAAAACTTGTATCTAAACTTAATTTTTTTGGTAATTTTACTGCAGTATTTTTACATGCTGAATGATCAAATGAATTGACTTGTGTGAGAAGGACCATATGATTCCGTTTAACAAATCAAGATAGGTCTTTTCAAAATCAAGTGAATATATTACAATATATTTTTTTCTCCCTTAAAATAACAAAAGATACTTCATATTTTGTACTAAAATATATATATCAGAATAAAAAAAAATATCTTGGAAAGTATTCGTTTTCAGACAATTTTACCTCAGTACTTTTATACATAGAATGTGTGATCAGAGGAATTGATTTGTGTCAGGAAAATTATTTAAAAGATTTAAGGGTATCCCGGATACACTCACATCGTCCATTTCTTCTTAATGATGTCAAAAATTCTTATGAAATATGTTGAGATAGAAAGGTATATCACAAAATAATACTTGGACGTATTTTGCAAAAATATTTAATATACATTTCCTCGTTTCTGACATTATTAAGAAGAGATGGACAATACATATATTCAGGAATCTTAAAATATAGCCTTGAAATTTTTTATCTACTTCTACTCACAAAAGAATCATTGTCACTATGTTACAAACTTATAAAACTTTTGTAGACACTATTCTATATTGTTTGAAATATAGTGGATATGTTCAAGGTGGGGTAATAGTTATTGCATCATTTCCCAGATAGCCAAACCCGCACAAACAGATTTTGTCAGAGCCTGGTACAAAATTTTCAATTTGCTTATTGGATCTGTATTTAAATTTGAATTTTGAATTGTCAGATATCTTTGTGTGTAGTGACAATACCAACTTGATTATATATTTATGAATACGGTCGATACCAAATGAATACTAAAATATATAGGTGATCAGTGGTATAGTGGAACTGAACAGCTATAGTCTGAAGACAAAGAGCGATCATATAATTAAGGCGAACGAGGAAATTGCGGCAATCAGACATCGGCCGATCACTCTTCATAGTAATTCGTCTGCTTGCATTCTCACGCCGTCAGATAAGAATCTGCATGAAATTTCTTGCATCAAAGGACCTGCAGCTTTCCTGGACATACTTAGTCCACCGTACGAGGTCAATATGTTCGGCCATGGACCAAGACCGTGTACATATTTTAAAGCCGTCAAATCTAAGCTGTGCACAGAATCGACAGATGTGATTGAGGAAGTGCACTTATCGGTCGTAGAGAGTCCACCGGACTTCTACTCCTCGAGTTTGGAATACATCGGACCGTCACTAAAGACTTACAATGACTGAAACAACGTTTTTCGTTTTCTACAAAATTCGTGGATTTTGAATTTGTTACGTTCGCTCTTCTATATAGTGATCAGGATTGGGAAGTAACGTGTTATTCGTTACGTGTTACCGTTAATGTTACTTCTTCAGTGATAACTTAGTAATGACATTGTTTGCGTTCAGCAGGAAAAGCAGTTTAGGTTGCGTTGCCAGCAACTTTGCAACTTTTATAAGACTTTCTGCTGAACGACACTCAGCGGTTTACGCTTTTCCAATATATTTACTAAACGGTGTCCAGCATACTGAAAACATGTTGAATGAAATAGCCACCACTAGCCGCCACTCTTTTCTTCTACAATTGATAGTATATCTGTGAGTCTGGATTATTTTTTTAACGATAACGAGTTACTTTTTAAGTTACTTTAAGTAATTTAAAAACTTAAAAAGTAACTTAAAAACTTAAAAAGTAACTTAAAAAGTTATTTTTTAAGTAACTCCCAACTCTGGTAGCAATGTAAGATAACTATGATTTTTGTTTTATGTAAATTTGCAAGTAGCACCTTGTGTTTTTTAAGAGTCAAAATAATTTCTATCGAGATTAAAGCAATGCTGTAGCAGAATTAATTGTTAATTACGCCAGATGGAGTTACAAGTAAATGACTAAAGCACAAAATAGAAGTGCTAATATGCTCAGAAAATAAATTAAACTGCACAATTGTACTACAAAAATTATTCTCATACACTAGGTGACAATTGCGTAATAAAATATCAAATCATGATACAAGAGAAAAGAGCACGATAATTCTTATTCGTATTTTTTATATATAAAACGAAGAAGCGTAATCGTGCTCTCTTAAATACATAGTATATGTTACATTGTGTATTGATCATAGACAATTCCAATTTAAAATAGTTTTTGGTTAGTTCATAAGCAAAGATTACATTTTGTTACATCTAGCTGTTATTTATTTTCATCGTATAGCTATTTTGTAGTGTTATATAAAGAGATGTTTTACTTTCTAAAAAAAAGTATATTTATACATACATATGTTTTTTGTAGTTTTTAAAGTCATATTTTTCTTGTTCTTTATCTATGGATGTTTCAAGTGTCAATTAATTTAAATGTAAAGTAGATTATATAAGCAATATTTATATTGGGAATACTATTTTCTTGATATACAAGTACAAAGAGAGATCATCACAAAAAACGGGTAAATTATATAGTTTAAGTATGAAAGATTATAAGCTTAATTACTCGAGATATTCGAGTATTAACAAATTGTTAGTTTTGTTTCATGTTTGTCAACACAATGGTTATGGACAATTGTGATTACGCGAAAATATGTATTTATATTTTCGGTGGTGCGTTATTTAAAATTTTTTTTTTAATATTTAGTCAAGACATATCTATATATCTTTTCTAAATTTCTTCTGATTTCTTTAAATTTTACTTAAATAATAAAGTACTTAAAGAAATACAATGTAATGTTATCGAGATTTTTAAGTATTTTCTAAAACTTTATTGTACTTAATTAGTTGGATATATTTGCACGAAGAAAAATTTAATAAATATTTATATGTGACATAAAAAAAGTTGTTACACCGATGATTCCGTACTTAGTTATTGTATGTATGGTCTAAAAATAAGTTTTGATCTAAAGTATAATATTTTATAATTAATATAATAGGCAGTCTATGTCTAAACTGCAGTTTATATTAAAAAAGAGAATTTGAGACTATTAAATTACAGCTGAAGTTAATTGATGTTATAGAAAATAATCACTAAAGATCACAAAAATAATGTTGATGTTCACAAGTACTTGAATATTTCTGGTACTAATAGCATGTGACAATGTTATATATGTTCACTGACGTATCTAGTCAGCAAAAAAAGAATGTATATGTATAGAATTGTCCAAATTCCATTGAAGGCATTGTTATAAACGAAACAAACATGAGGCAGGTATGAATTTTATTGTTATAGATGTAAGTGTAAACATTGTAAATTATTCTATTTATATTGACGAGCTCCTTTTATATCTGCTACAGGTTACTTTATGTCAGCATTTACATGTGAAATTAGATTACAAAATATAGCCTACAAATTTTAGCTATAATAATACAATAGCCTTATATTTATACTATATTGGACTCTAAAATCACTATTAAAAAGAGTTATAGATAACAAATATTTGTCACAGCAGTTCATTGCGTTAATTTTCTTCCTGTGGCATTTTATATCTTTTACATGAGCAATATTAGTCTTTAACGAGTTAATTACAAGTTAGATAACTTTAGTAATATAAAGAAAAAGGTTATGTAACCATTCCCCACTTTTGTTTATTATACAAGGAAGATTGGAGAAAGTAAAATATACATATAATATATGTATATATATATACACACACACACACACACGTGTGTGTATATATATATATTAGTCCAATAAAATTATATATTGAAGGAGGTGTCACTCTATCCTCACATTACTTAACATCTTCACCTTTACCTTTATGGAATTCACCTTCTTGGAAAATATAGACCTGTATTAATTTTCGACAATGTTTGCATACGATATTTTAAATCTTTATACGAATATATACAGATTTCATTATTCTACGGTATGCTCGTACCGTATATCACCAAAAACACGTATGACACTGAAAGTTATTACAGTGAATGAAAAAATATTTGCAAATATGCATTTCTTTTTGGATAATATTACACAAAAATGAGAAAAATGTATTAATATATATTTAAAAAAAACTATATTAATATAGAAATTTGCGTTACGCGATACAAGATTCTTTTTTATGTAAATTTGTCTAAAAAAGAAGGAGTTATACAAATATTTTCGTCCACTGTATATCTCTCAAACATAGTCAAATTTTACTTGAAAGTGAATCTTTATATATATGTTGGAAAAATTATATCCACACATTATATAACTGGTATTTTAGATATCTGTTTTTTAACGTTTTATTTTTTTAACTTGTCTGATCGCTTTCGGAGTTTTGTTGCCTCTTGTACAACGCTACATTACTCTCCGTATAGTCCATCACGCGACGCTGACACTGTCTCATGTATTGTTGTTGCTTGTGGTAAATCTTGAATGCACCCTTTATTGTTAAGAACGCTGCACCACCCTATATATACAAAATAAAAATATACTTAATTATAAGGGAGACATGTTGAGTCTGTGATATTTAGAATTACTTTGTCTAGATTATCAGTTTTATTATATTATTGGATCATTGTATATAAAATATCATCTCGAAAGTTTTATCAAACGTTTTAACTTGTAAAATAAATGTTTACTGATAATCAGGTATTGTAAATACCTACCATACCAGGTATTACAATACCAGGTATTGTAATGAAATAATACTTTCATAAAGATAAGTTTCTGTGAAATAGAGAGAAAGAGAGAGGGAAAGAGAGATAGCAGTTTTTCATATTGCGGCGAACTTGTGGAAATATGACTGGCGTAAATATCTTTAATACGTACAAGTAACGTTCTTTGAAAGTTGGAATTTATACTTTCGAAGAATAATTTCCCGCATATACTGGCGATAGTTGGCAACAAAAGCGCACCACAAAGGACGCGGGTCGCGGATACAGGATCGTTCATCGGCGGAATATCTTCTGATTGTACTGTGTCTTCACTGGAATAACTGTAATAATAATGATACATTCAAGTAAACACACGCAACCCTGATGAAATAAACAGAGATAGATATCGGTGTACGAACCTACTCGGTAAAAAGTGCCTCAAGATAGGAACTTTACAAGCATGTCGCCTCAAAAAACTAAGGGCCTGATCTTCCCATCTAAGCATTTTCCCCAGAACTAACATAATTGGAATAGTCGGCAAACCGACGAGTAGAACCAAAGGATCAGCCTGTTCCATCATAGTGAGGCCATCTTTATGACCCACTACTTGCATAACAGTTACTGCACCGTAAGTTACAGCCGTCCAATATATGGATCCAACAACTATACCAGCGGCAATGAAGGGACATACTCGAAAAATAACAGTGTCGATCGTGTCGAGTATTACCACTAACGGACCTACAATTTGCGCTATGTTATACAAGATATCCTTTACTTGTACTGTGTCATTTTTTAATGACATATTTACCAATTAATTAAAAGTTGATCTTTTTTGCAATTATAGATTTATATCTCCAAGTTTTTTTTTATAATTGTATTACTATTGTAAGAAAGAAAAATGTATTGTTTACAATATTAATATCACTCACCCATATTTGGGTAAACTATAATATATTCTGTATTACACTGTGGGCAAGCCACAGCATGTTCAGCATGGCCTTTTTGTTTTTCATCAACCCATCTTTGTATGCAACCTTGATGAACCCATTTTGTAGTGCCTCTACAGTGGCATGGTTTAACCCATGCTGCAGTTGCATCATCTTCATCTGTTGCAAAGCATACCCAACAATATCGCTTACTGCAGACAAAAATAATCAATGTTATAATGCTTTCCATATAATTATCAAACAATTGCTACAAGTTCTTAAGAAACAGAGTATCAAGTATATCTCTACATTTGTAAACCTGACTGTTATTTTCTATGCCTCTAAGATGCGCCTACTTATATTCTTTCCGTCTTTTTTATGTTATTCAAATTTATCATATAAAATTGAAAAAAAAACTTAATGTTTAAGTATTAAAATGATACATAATGAGTTAAAAGCACAAAAATATCAAATCAAATTTGAAAATCTCAAGTTTTCTAATCTTTTTTTTAATAAGATTTTTAGAAAAAGTATGTCTGGGAGATATGAGGTTGTTCTAGCATCTAAACAGATAACACTGTCAGAGTTAATATGCCAAACTTATATAAACTTCAAATGTGAACAATACAAGAAATCAGGTAGTTTATAATAGAAAGTTTCTATTATTTTAAAAGTCTAATTGCATGTATATTCTATGGAATATAGAGTATATCAGTGATTTTGTAGAATTTCTTACCAGAAAGATAATATAGGATCATAAAATTAATTAATTTTTATAACACATGTGATTACTCAATATTAGCTTACTCTTCATCCATGCTCAATGATCGCATACTAGATGTGGTATGATTTGGAGAAGATACCCCATCAGTGATATCAACGGACAATTCACGGTCTGTTATATCTTCAGATATATTCTGAGAACTTTCTTCTTCTGATGGAACCACTCGTGCCTGGATATCAGAAGTTCCAGCTGTAAAATATATTAACAATATTGATGAAATAATTGATGTAAAGAATAGCAAGTCTGATCTATATAAATTAAGTATATGTACAGTAGATTGAAATATTTTTTACGCTATAAATTACCATTAGATTCATTGACTTGTCTGTCAACTCTTAAGTTTGTACTGAATCTTCTAAGAGCTTCTTCTATACTTGGAAGACGTCTGATGTTTGCTCTAGTTATACCGGACTCAATACGCACTATTCTTCCACGGCTATCAAGCCCATATGAAATATGTGGCAAATTATCTTCGGACATTGTCTCAGCAAAACAAAGAGTTCACAAATTCATCACCATCTTGAAAACAATATTGTTGAGTGAAATATTATTATAATACTATTATTATTGATACATTCTTATTATTACTATTATTTAATCATTACTATTATGATTATTATTATTACTATATGCAATAATGATGTTATTAACTGTTTTTATAAAATAGCTATATATTGCGTTACATTGCGAGTATAATTTAAAATTATACAACACACTTGTTCTCTCGTCTTTTGCCATAAGTTTTGACATTTAAATATGCAAAGGTTAAAACGTAATTGAGGCGATGTTAACACACGCTATGTAAATATCATGCGAATTATCGCATCCGTATAAACGGAAGAAAATATTAACTTAATTTTACGTCGATTATTTCGTTAAAATGTGTACTCTTGTGACGATTAAAATTCTCTTTAATATTCTACGCATACGATTATGATTACATGAAAAATACGACTGTCGTCGGACTTTTAACCTTGATAACAAAAATGCTAATTTGCGATATGTCGAGCAACGTATGTAACATACGTCAGCGCGGCGGCGAATCGCGTGCATTTATAAGAAATTCGCTCGCGATCTAAAATACGCGAATGTAATGCAGCAGACTGCGAAGTAAAATGCTTACAGCATTTCTCACTTCGGGATCTTCGGATTTTCGTGACTAGCACTTCGAAACGTGCCGAATTTAAATGCGTTCGGTGACAACTGTGCAAGAGTACAATGACGCAAAAATGACGCTCTGTCAAGGAGAGCGTGAAAAAACAAAAAGAAAGGATGGTAGTAGCCCGTACCTGCGACAACGATGATCTTTGTATACATCTCCCCGAATAGCGATAAACGAGACGTTAAGCAGAATCTTGTCAATAACACGTCCTCCTCTTTCTCTATCTCTCTCAAATATCTCGCTTGATATTTGGTGACGAGCGGAGATGTTTCGTTCGTCCTTCCACTCATTTATTCGACCATCTCTTATACCGTGTAGATGCGATTGCTGTAGTATTTATGAACAACTAAATTTCTCCGACGTCGAGTGAGAGCACGAGTTTGTCGAGCGGCCACGTCCGATCTGAATCTTGATGTCTCGCGTATTTGATAATTCGTGGCATACGACAATAGGTAAAGGTCTATTCATACGACGAGCAGCAATGGCAATGAATTAATATCACGTTTTGCTCTGTAGGGCAAGCTGAAGGAGCAAGATTCCGTAATTTTTTAACATTTGCGTTATAATTATAACGCAATCGTTATGACTGAGTTATAATTGTTATGGGTCTTCTACAATGAACCATTAGCACAGTTTAAGTATAATCAGTTACAATTTTTGTAACTGATTTGTTAATACCAGAGAGAGTTACACGACATTTTCCCGAAAATTAGATGGAAAAATACTGGTACCAACAAAAACCTCTAGGCAACACAATTTTAATTTCTGCGGATTAGTGACAGTTTGACACATACACACGTATATGTCAAACGACTCCGAAAGTTCATGGACTTGCTACTTCACAGTGTCACTAATCCGCAGAAATTAAAATTGTTGCTTAGGGGTTTTTGTGGGTACCACCATATTCCCATTTAGTTTTCGGGAAAATTTCGTGTAACCCAAATGTGTACATTGACAAACGGACACAACCAACCACAATGCCATATGCCTAGAGATATTCTAGAGACTCTATAAACAACGACATATGATTGGATGTGTCCGTTTGCAATGTGCGCATCTGGGACTCACTCATTTTCGGATCTTTTTATCTCGCTGCTCCCGCTTCACATATTGTCATGAATTCAGGGCTAGGAAGTCTGGTCACCTTAGTACAACGGACACGAATCAGGCGCATTTTATTTTTATTTTTATTTTTTCGCATTACTGCGAAAATGTGCTTAGTACTGGCCATTGAAATCAGTGGTCTGTTCTTTTCAGCTGACTGCTAAACGGATACAATAAGTTAAAGTGAGACAAGTATATTTTTTCTTACTCTAATTTATTGCACCAGTTCAGCAGTGAAGCTGAAAAGAACAGACCACAGGCTGTGGCCGCTTTCATGCTTCTCTCTCGTACGAACGCGGCTTGCTGGGCGACGACAGCGTCACTCGTCTGCATACGTGTCTACCAATCGCTACGTGTCTGTCAATCGTGTGATCATAAGAAGCAGGACACTGTTATAGCTACGCGACGAACATTCACGGTCGTTTATCATCAGGAACGATACGTCGTTTTTTCGCATTGACAAACAATACTTGTTCGATATTCGCGACACGTCGTTAACATTCTCGCGTTCTGTCACGCCGTTTATGAGTAACCGTGGTGACCCGCCCGATGTGATTCGCGAGCACAGCGACTCCGAGAGGGCGATCCCAATGGACCGTCACCTGTCCACTGTCAGTATCGCCGACGACAACGACTGGGATCGCGAAGTGTACCAGTTCCGCCACAACAGTCTGGACGCCGTTCGTGACGGCGTTTAGCGTCTCGATTTGGCGAGCTGTCATGTGCCCAACGATCGAGAACGTGACGATTTGAGGAACACCGAGCAACGGCAACGTCGTCAACGATGGCGAGTCCCGCCGTCGGCGGTAACCCGGAGAACGCCTCCAAGTTCTTGGAGGCCTTACAGTCGGACCTCAAGGTACTCGCCTCGGAAACCAAGAAGAAGTATCCACAAATCAAGGAGGTATGTAGGATATAGTGCAAATTTCAACGGTTCTCATACTTTATATCGAATAAATTTCAAAATAGACCTTTGATTTCAATTTTGTTTCTTTTTTGGTTCAAATTTCATATTCTGATGTGTTTCGCTGTGTAAAAGATAATATCCATAGCTTAAAAGATATACATATATATGTATATGTGTTTGTTTATGTGTGTGTGTGTGTTAAAAATTTAGAACATTTTCAATAATTTATTGATGTTCAAATGAATTTAATTGTCTATTACAGTCATGCGAGGAAGGAATTGCAAAGTTGAGGACAGCGTCGAGTAACCCGGGAACACCAATATATTATGTTATCAATCAAATTCTTTATCCTTTAGTTCAGGGTTGCGAGAGTAAGGATATAAAAATTATCAAGGTACTAAGAACTATACTTCACATTTATGTGTGTTATATGTGAAAAGATAAGCATTTTTACAAGATAAGAATTGTTAAAAATGTTTGATCTTCAGTTTTATTTAAGTAAATATTTTTACTTTTTCTAATCTTAAGTAAACAGATAAGAATTGTTTTGGTTTTCAGTTTTGCTTAGGCATGATGCAGAGGCTAATAACACAACAAGCGGTAGATCAGAAAGGTGCACGATACATCACGGATACTTTATGGCTGTTAATGGAATCGGGTACAGAGGAAGTTAAAGTTTTGCAGACTGTAACTTTGCTACTTACGAGTAATGCTGTGGTACATGGAGATACCCTTGCTAGAGTGAGAATCTACTTACATATATATCAATGCTTTCTTCCACAAAATACTCGAGATATGATTTTCACTATATTATATCTTTTTACAGAACTTGGTACTCTGCTTCCGGTTACACTTTACAAAAGACTGTACAACGATAAATACAGCTGGTGCTACTGTTAGACAACTAGTTTCCTTGGTGTTTGAGAGAGTGGTTGCCGAGGATGAGCAAAGTCCTGACCAGCAAGATTCTGACGAAGTTAATCTCGAGGAACTGAAAATTCCAACGAATCAGGCGCCTAAAGGTCTCGGCCCTTGCGCTGCAGATGCATATTTAATGTTTCAGGTGATTTATTGATCACAATTTTTTGGGGTAGTCTATTATATGTGATAAAATCCTGCAGAAAATAATTTGTGATTTATTACACTGTATTACACTTTATACACACTGTGTGTTTTGTACATTTGATTTTAGGATCTAGTTCAATTGGTAAATGCTGACCAACCATACTGGCTAATAGGCATTACTGAAATGACTAGAACTTTTGGCTTAGAGCTACTAGAGTCTGTTTTAACAAACTTTTCATCAGTCTTTTTTAAGGTAATTTATTCTTAAAGAAAGTTGGAGTCTAAAACATTTGTGTTTTCAGAAATAGAAAAATTATATGAAAAATATACTTTTTATTACTTTTACATAAAGATTGTATATTATGATTTTTTAGCATCCAGAATTTAGCTTTCTGCTGAAGGAAAGAGTATGCGCGCTCGTGATAAAACTCTTCTCGCCTAACATCAAGTATCGTAATTCAGTGCCAGCATCTTTGCAACAGGCTACACCATTAGATAAACCTTACTTCCCTATCAGTATGAGGCTCTTGCGAGTAGTCTCGATTTTGATACAGAAATATCATTCCTTATTGGTTAGTAGTGGGACTTGCACAATTTCTTTGAAAAAATCAGTATATTAGAAAAATTCAGTGTCAGCTTAATCTTCAAATAACGCTATAATTTCTAATGTTCTAGGTGACGGAGTGCGAAATATTCTTGTCCCTGATTGTAAAGTTTTTGGACCCTGACAAGCCTACTTGGCAGAGAGCTTTAGCATTGGAAGTTTTGCACAAAATGACAGTGCAGGCAGACCTCCTGACGAACTTTTGTGAATGTTATGACTTGAAACCTCACGCTACAAACATTTTTCAAGATATCGTCAATAGTTTAGGTGCTTATGTACATAGCCTCTTCGTGAATCCACAGATGATGAGTCAGACAGGTACAGATGTGTTATATACGTAAATAATCAGAGTATATTCTATTTCTAAAATTAAAAACGCAATTCGCTAAATATTTTCGGTTTACTTTGAAGGTTTTGACCGCGAAACATACTTTTCTGTGTTTCTATTAAACACTACATAATAGTACATTATAGTCGGGTTCGCAGATATCCAATCAGTTAAAGTATAGAACAAGTATAGAACAGCGAGTATACAGGAGCCGTCGCGGATCTTTTAGTGTGAAATTTATAAATTTTTGTTTTATTTATTATAATAATATATTATTTTCCCGAAAATAAAAATCTAAATTTCTTTTACTTATTATTCTTATAATATTATCCTCCAAAAAATAAAACTTTCTATGCTTTAACTGATTTTATTTAAAGTATTACTGTACTTTAAATGTATTACTGTACTTTAACAGCTCTTTATTTTTTCAAAACAGCAACGAGCACAACTGTACCTCAAGGCACAGGTTCGCCATTATTCACAGCAATGCCGATCGGACCTGGCGTATCACCCCAACCTGGTTTTTATTCGCGTGGTATTTGGTTGCCAGTAGTAGCAACGTTTACAAGCGGGCAAGCCAAACCTACTTAGTGAGCTTTATATTGATATATCTTTTTAGCGACGAATTTTCAAGGATCGATAGTAAATGTATGTGATTGTTCCAGTTTGGAGATGTTGGATAAAGTCGAACCGCCGCAAATACCAATCGGTTACGGAATCAGTATAGCTTACGCGTGCCTATTAGACATCATAAGATCGATCGCGTTGGCCATAAATGGGACGTCGAAAGAAGACAGCAGCGAGGGTCAGATCTATCATCCGAGCGAGATCGAACGAAAACTCCATGTGCAATTGATCAATTCGAGCTGGTGCGGGCTATTGGCAGCTCTCAGTCCACTAATAGACGCCAGGTAATGGCGTCGTGTAAATTTTACATCGAATCCGAAGAGAATTTGTGGGTACTGATCGAACGCGTCCTAATTTATAGCACGGACGAGTCCGCGACGGAGAACGTTCTGAAAGCGATTCAGACGTTCGCGTCCCTCTGCGGTCAATTGGAACTGCAAGCACCGCGCGACGCTTTCATCACCGCGATATGTAAGGCCTCGTTGCCACCTCATTACGCGTTAACAGTGCTTTACAATGCACCTCAGGGTATACCGACCGCGAGACAGCAAGACTCTTCACAATATAATTTGACGTTGGGCGAGCCCGATTACAGGCAGCAAGTGGTCGCTGTTGGTACGCCGCTACCGACGGCGTCCTTACCAATCGGTAGGCCAATATTTCGTCGCGTTTGCGCAATTATACACATGTCGTTTTCATCCAATTTGACATTTATTACGTTGTGTACATTTAGGTGCCCATCAAGGTCCTGTTATGTTGACTGCAAAGAATCTGCAATGCATGCGCGCGTTGTTATCGTTGGCTCATTGTCACGGCAGCATACTTGGTAGCGCGTGGCATTTGGTACTTACCACCCTTCAGCATCTCGTTTGGATACTTGGTCTTAAGCCCTCCACCGGAGGATCGCTGAAAGCCGGAAGAACCGCGGCGGATCCGAACGCAGTGTTAACGAATGCCGTTATGGCGGACTTGCCCGTGCTCAGTGCTATGCTTAGTAGACTGTTCGAAAGCAGCCAGCATCTGGACGATGTGGCTCTGCATCACTTAATAGATGCTCTGTGCAAACTGAGCCACGAGGCTATGGAGTTGGCGTATTCGAATCGCGTAAGTCTGACACGTATTCTTTGTACGTGTTCTCTCGTGCTGTATTAGTTTTCTTGAAATCTTTAATCATATCTTTTCTCCTTGTTTTTTTTTTTTCAGGAACCTTCACTGTTTGCCGTTGCGAAACTTTTGGAAACGGGTTTGGTTAATTTGCCGCGTGTAGAAGTGCTCTGGCGGCCGTTGACAAATCACTTGTTGGAGGTCTGTCAGCACCCACATATTCGTATGAGAGAATGGGGAGTAGAAGCGATTACTTATCTTGTTAAAATGGCTCTTCAGCACAAGTACCCGCAACCACTCCGCGATAATCAGGTACGAGACAAACGAGTATTAGAATATATAACAAGAGAGAGTTGCATACGGAATATATATGTGACGCTTGTTTTTTGTGTATGTAGAAGTTGCAAACATTACTGTTAGGACCACTGTCGGAGTTATCGTCCGTGCGACACGGAGACGTTAGGCAACGGCAACTGGAGTGTGTTTTACAAGTGCTTCATGGCGCGGGAGAAACACTGTACCATGGTTGGCCTTTAGTCCTCGGTATTATAGGAGCAGTTTCTGATCATCATGGGTAATAATTGGAATTAGGATTATCATGGATTATTATGGGGAACATATGGTGACGCCCAGTGTTGCGCTTAGATGGTTGTAATATTATCTAGATGTAGTTTATCATGAGATGATTTCAATAAGATAGTACATTTTTTAATTTAAGATAAAGATGCTATATGTCTTTAACATCTAGATATAGATAAGATGTTTCGGTTTCTCCATCTAGATAGCCATCTAAATTGTTTTATCTAGATACCAGCAAACACTGAAGACGTTTAATTTGGAGAGAAAAATCCACTAGCAAAATAAGTAGCAAAATAATTTCTCTGATCTTTTCAGAGAAGCTTTAGTTCGCATAGCTTTCCAGTGTCTGCAGTTGGTTGTAACAGACTTTTTACCGGTGATGCCTTGGCGATGTCTTCCGCTGTGCGTCGATACAGCCGCTAAGTTTGGATCACAGATGCAAGAATTGAATATCTCACTTACAGCTGTCGGTCTAATGGTAAGAGGAAAAATAAATCAATTTCCAGTAAAGCGTTTAATTTTTAACGCGAATGCTATTGATAATTGCAAAGATAATGGTACAATTTTATAAAATGATTTTTTTCTAGTGGAACATAAGCGATTACTTTTATCAAAATCAAGAGAAATTATGTGTTTGCCTACGTGGAGATTCGTCGTCGGTATTTCCTGATTTTCCCGGCACAACGAATATGCCACCATTCGACAAACTGTGGATGTGTTTATATGCGAGGCTAGGTAATTTATATTTTCTGACATATGTTATAGTTTATCTTAGAACATAACAAAAAAAGTATTGCGCATAAAATTCTTGATATTACACACATGATATCATGTTTCATTTTATTTTTTTAAAGGAGATTTATGCGTTGATTCACGACCTGCTGTGCGCAAATCAGCAAGTCAAACCCTATTTTCTACTATATCCGCACACGGCAGCTTATTACATCAGCCAACATGGCAAGCAGTGCTTTGGCAAGTCCTCTTTCCACTATTGGACAAAGTAAGAAGTCTATCTAACTCGGCTAGTAGTGAGAAAGTCGACACTAGCGGAAACATACTTATTCACCACAGCAGGAATACAGCACAAAAGCAATGGGCGGAAACACAGGTAAAATATATATTATGTTAATTTCTTTACAGAGCATAGCTGTTGCGCAAGTTTTTTTAACGAAAGTAGAAATCACACACGTTTTGACACACATCTGTTACAGGTTTTGACACTGAGCGGTGTAGCTAGAGTATTTAATACAAAACGTCAACTGCTGCAAATGTTAGGAGACTTTCCTAGAGCATGGTCGCTGCTGCTCGAATTCATCGAAAATTCTGCACTTAGCAAAAATAACGAGGTACGTGTTAGAACGCGCCGTGATGACTGTATAATCGATTACGTGTATCGAATGCAGTTACTCTAAAATAATTCTTGAATCTCGGTGTATAATAGCTTTCGTAGAGACAATTTAAAGTGCATAGAGAACGTAACAATAACGTATGATAACAGCCTAATCGCGGTTCTTTAGGCGTTGAGTCCTTTTATAGAATAGCATAAATGAGCGCGCTATTTCCAGGCTCCCGACACATACTTCTCCGGGGGCCAGAATTTCGAGAGCGAGCATTTGCTCTGTTCTTTTTAGCCGCACTACTGAATTAATGCAATAAGTTAAAGTGAGAGAAAGTATATTTGTTTCACTTTAACTTATTGCATTGGTTCAACAGCTAAAAAGAACAGACCGTTTAACTACCTGCTGGCGGCAATACAACATGCAGTAAGGTGACCAGATTTCCAAGCCCTGAATTCGGGACACTTCATAAATGTGTGAAGCGGGAGAAGGGGAGGGTAAAAAGATCTGAAAATTATTTGACAATGAAAATGATGACAAATCGGTGTCCCGAATAGCACTCGAAAAAATTCGGGACAAAGGGTGAAAAATCGGGATGGCTGGTCATTTTAGCATGTCGAGAAGGGAGGAGATTACTCCGTAATAATGTACTTACGATATGTCCTGACGACCGCACGTCGTTGTTTTCGGCAATCTAATATTTATTTCCGCAGCAGACACAAGCGAAAGACATATGGAATACGGGGTGTTGTGTCCATGGCAGTTGCTTGGCATAAAAAAATCGTAGACACGCGCGCTGTCAATCACGTATATCAAAAGTTCATTAGCGCGCCGAAAGTGCTAAAAGTGTATGAATGTGAACGCGTCAGTGATGCGAACGAAGTCGCGCGTCTACAACGATGTGATCTGTACGGCGGACGCTTTAGGGTCGATTGTTCCAACTTCTTGGTAAATTAACTGATAATTAAATCATATGTTTGTCTTTGTCTAAATTAAAGGAAAAACAGACATATGATTTAAGCGTCTTCTACAATGGCAGTAGGAGTAGTAGTAAGAAATAAGCAGTAAGTAAATAGACCAATCACAATCGATTATTTTTGAAACGTGAGAATGGAATTGATCAATTTGCTTACTGCTTATTTCTTACTACTACTCCTACTGCCATTGTAGAAGACGCTTTAATTATCAGGTAGCTTACCAAAAGGTTGGAACAATCGGTCCTTAACCACTTGCTTGAGTTACTAACTACTCTAGACCAATCGTGTTCGTTTTGCACTACGAGGTTGGCATCCTGGTTATTCAATCTAGGCGTTGGTAATAAATCGCGCGAAACGCTCGATCTTTTCGCGCCAAGCAGCAATCATGGGCACACATCGATCTACATCGCTCCGCGTTTCTCGCGTCTTTTATCCGTCGAAAGTGAGTCTCGCGCGTTAATAAGTCTCGGGAATGTCGAGAATAACGATGTGCGATCGTCGGGGCGTATCGTGAAGACGTCATTTGTAAGTAATCTTCTCGTTTCTCCTCGCGGTATATGCGACCGGTGCTTGTCGCGACGAGTCGCGCCGACGTCCCTTGCATTTGCTAATAACATCGACTCGCTCAAATAGCAATAGAATTGGACGATCGTCGGATTTATTGAACGGGAATTAGAAATGCGATGACAATCAGAGAGAAAAAGAGAGAGAGCGGAATATTCTGGCGGTTATGTCAGCTTGTTAGGAAAAGAGATACGGAGAGAGAAGTATCTCATAGAGCGCGTTCTTTTCAGCCGCGGCGCCGTTCACGCCATATTGGCGTATATTGGGCGAGTTTTTTAATTCATCGATAGATCCATCGCGTGATGCGTAAATACAGCAAAACGTTGCATTTGCGCATCATGCGATGGATCCATCGATGAATTAAAAAAACTCGACCATTTTCAGCGCGATTCAATAATCGTGCGATCTCGATCTTTCTGCATCGAGCAACCGCTGTGGACACATCGATCGATATCGCTCCATATTTTACGTGTCTTTAACCTGTCGAAAGTAAGTCTCGCGCGTAATTATTTATCCCTTATGTATCGGGAGTGTCGAGAATAGCGATGTGCGATCGCCGGGGCGTATCGTAAAGACGTCACTTGTAAGTAATCTTCTCGTTTCGAACCGAGAATCGGGCGATCGTTGGATTTATTGAACGGAAATTAGAACGCTCATCTATACTTGTATACCGAAAAAGAATTCAAAAGTTTCGACCTACGCGCCATCGTCACAACAAGATGTGTTCGAACGAGTTCGGGCTTTGTGATTTTTTGGAACGTGCCTTGGAATTTTCCAAGGCTTTATTCTCGATATCATATCATAAACTAGAACAATGGTTGGAGCATTCTTAGAGAAACCTAGAGCCAAAAATTGAAGGAAGGAAAAAGGACTCAATTAACGACTAGTGTACGACTTTCAATTATATATTATTAATTTTTGAATCTTTCAGGTATCGTTGGCAGCGTTGAAATCGTTCCAAGAGATCCTTTATCTTCAAAAGGGAAGCGACAATACCGAGGTAATACAGTCGAATGATTCGGAAGGTCTATGGGTCGTGGCGTGGCGTGTGTGGCTCAATATCGGGATGGAGAGCACTACGCCGCCGCAGGAGAGCGACACCGAACCTTACGTGCCATCGCAGGCGTTTCTCACTGCTCTGGTGCACATATTCCCGGCCGTTTTCCAGCATATTAGAAACAAGTATGCAGTCGTATTTACATTGTTATCGTTTATCGTTCCTGAGCGATAAAACGTCGAGTGTTTTGTCGCTTGAAGACGGATGTATGGGATACTAAAACGGAACGCGCGGAAATATACTCGTGCATTTGACAGGTTCACCGGACCCGATCTGCAAAAGTTATGTATCGTGTTGAAGAATGCGGTAGCCGTTCCGGTACACGGCGAGTCGACGCCTTATATATTGCCTTCAGTGCCGGATATAGTTCTCACTCATTTACAAGATGGAGTACTGCACTCTATGGAGCTTCTGCAAAAGGTATGTTTCGCAAATTCTTCTCCGTGCTGTCTCAAGAGACTTCGACCTGAATACTTGTTACCATAATTGTTACGTTTGTTACAATTATTTCACAGGAAGCATTAAACGGCCCTGACAATTTACGGACGATGATCGTGTTGATATTTCTTCAGTTACTGAGCTTTTCGAAACTAGCGTGCGAGGCGCCCATCTACGGTAAAATACCAACGAAACACATCTCCCAAATTAGAGGCGTGTCTGTGCGTACTTGGACTTCACAACTTGAACTTGCAGTTGATACATAATGATCGTGTAAGCTAATTCGAACGTATTGTTTTTCTTTCAGGCTACCGATTGGGTCACGATGAATTATGTCCCGTTCGGCGAGAAAGCGCTATCGATGGTCGTGAGCTTGTATCAGAAGACCGCGCACGAGATGGCTGTGATTGACGGCCAGGTTCTGAAGCACATCGTGGAAGCGTTGCACGTGCCGTTGTCTATGAAATACGCGTGTCCATCTGCGACCACGTGGAAATTGGCTGTGACCAGTCTGCTGGCTGTCCTGCACACTGGACTACCGCTCGCCAGGAAGTATCCCGAGCAATTTCAGAGCATGTGGCTTGAACTCGCGAGCACGTTAGACGATTTCTTGTTCCCCAAAAGGTAAAACTCGAGAATTCACATTTAGCGACTTCTTCGTTGTACTGCTATTTTTTAAACATTAGAAGATGGATTATGTCTGGTTAATTTTAGCGTGCTGAATGTGGAACGTGGAGTTGAAGAAATCCAGGCCGACGAGGCGGTCGACTGTCAGGTTATGGAGTTATTGAGGGATGAAGTATTACCACACTCTCAACATATACCTCATCAGTTTATACTGAGAGTCGTTATGCTCTTAAATAAAGGTTCCATACATTCAGCTACAACGGCAAATATCGGTACGCATATAACATTCAAATTTATATTAAAATACTTATGTCGTAAATATATATGAAATCTCTGACAGAGAATAACTGTGTCTTTTTATTTTTTACAGAAAATGGCGCAGAAACGAAGCTGCGTGAAGAGTTTGCGAAAACATGCTTCGAGACTCTCTTGCAGTTTTCTCTATTAGATGGATTAAACAATGATGCGGAGAATAGTCCTAAGAAGAATCCGGAAAATGACGAGGGTGGAATCGCTGGACGATTGGCGGTTACGGCACTTCTACACAGATTCCAAGAAGTCCTCCGGCGTTATATTGAGAGCGAGAGGCGAAGCGGAAAATGCCCGTTGCCTAGGTAATAGTACTGTGATCGTTCAAAAGTCCTTTTGCTCACAATTCTAGTGAAGATACATGATTTTTATCTTAATAAGCATTTTGTACGAAAATGCACAAGCCCTTTTAAGTACTTATTATAGAACCCTTTTCTAGGTACAGATTGTCGGAGATATCATTTGTTTTGAAAGCTGTTGCTACTCTCGTAGTGTCCCTCAAGAAAGCGCCACCTAACAAAGGTATATTTTTATTTTTCAGTAAATCTCTTCGAGTAAGACCAATATTTCATTTGTTGTAAAACTAGTATTGTTGGATGTTCCGATTGGTTGTTGAGTAGAATACTTCTAAGATTTTAATTTAAAATTTTTTTCTGGGAACCTTAGAAATCCTCTATCTGACAGCCACGTGACACATTCGATAATATTTATCATACGACAAATGAAACATTAGTATATTATTAGCCTAATACAAATATATTTTATGATAAACATATAATTAAGCGATTAAACGATCGTTTATGTTTCAGTCGAAAGATCAGTGTGGGAGCAACTGATTGGACTGTACCCGTGTTTGGTGGAATGCACAATAGCAACGACCTCTGGACAAGTGTCCAGATCGTTACGGGAGGCCCTGCTGCAATATCACGATTTATTGCGGGCACCGGTTCACAACACGCCCACCTCTAATGGCGTTTGACCAATACATTCTTTTCTTTTAACCGGTAGCACACGAACTTGCGCTAAATAAGCTGAAGTATAGGGTGAGTAATTTGCTTGTGTAATATTCTGACGCGCGGCAAAGTATGCGAATTCCGATTTTACATAGAGAACATCATGAGTTTGCCGTATAGTTACCGCTCAAAGTAGAATAAATATCGCGTTTAGAACCTTTATTTCGAGCGCGATTCCGGTAATTCGGTAGTTCCGGTACAATCGTGAGATGATTTAGATCATTGCGATTTATTCCAATCACATTTGTCGATACACTGTTTTTACGACGTTGCAGTACAATAATCAAAATACGAACAGAGTTTATAGATTTATGCTCATAATGGGGAATTTTATATGAATTCGCATAATTCTCCTCTCCCTTTTTCTCTTGATTCATGATCATGTTGAAAAGTAATGGAAGCATCTTTGCGAAATTTGCCGACCTCAATAGCAGTGCGGAGAACTTTCTTAGAGTTGTTACGCCGATTAAACGGAAGGCAGGTACGAGGATAAATAGCAGGTGTTTTCCGTTCGTGGTTGGGGGAAACCGGGATTAGTTGGCAAAATTATTTCTACTCTTCTTTAACAGATTTCAGAATCGAGCAAACAATTATCTTTGACATATTTAAAAAGCTTGCTTGCTTAATTCTATAATTTATTAGAAAATAGTAGAATCGGTTTTGCTAATTTACTCCGGTAATCAATTATCATTAGCCCCTTCTACATGATGTTGTGAAAGAGGATTTATTATCTTGCGTATTTCCAGAGAGTATAGAGGAATCACTGTGTTCTAATAGTGCAACTGATAGTTTGTTACTATCCTTTTGAGTATATATAAGGAAATGCTGTACATATATATCTGCAGGGAATGTACAAGCCAGCTTTTTTAATTGGTGTTGTAAATATTAGATACGATATATATAAATATATAAATATATATATATATATATATATATATATATATATCTATATATATATGTATATATATATATATACATATATAAATATATAAATATATATATATATCTATATATATATATATATATATATATATATATATATATATATATATATATATATATATATATA